TCATATTCGTCATCTCCTAAGTCAGCCAGGGAGTTAATATCTGATATTACTCTACGAGCCCAGGGGCAAGCATCTTCTGTAAGGCGCTCGTCCTGTCCAACGATCTGCACTCCTCTCTGCGACTCGATTTGCATGGTGCCAAACAAAGCTGCCCATTCTGCCAGGTGACGATCAGGTTGTTGAACCCAGCGCTGATACCACTTGATACGCCGTGCGCGCAGTTCGATCTCAAGTGGTGCCATCTTCCAGTATCTACAAACCTCTTCGTTACTGATCGAAACCTTATGCCCGTTCTGCTCCTTAGTGGCCAGCCCTCGCATAGCACGTCTAGCATACATATTTACTCTGCTCTGCAATCGCTGTAGTTGAGCAGGCGTTGGGAGGAAAGCCTCGACGCCTGATAACGCAGACCCAAGGACACGACATAGGAAGACAGCACGTCGTTCAACATAAGGGACTCGTGCCTGGTACCAGAATCTCCCCATACTGTGATAACCAACATCAGTGGCCCTAAGCCTATTTTCCAGTTCAGAAGAGAAAGCTCCATCACCTCTAACGATACTACCCAGGTACTTAGCAGAATCTTTGGGTTGTCCAGCTAACCTAATATTGCCAGTCCGTATTTGTTTTCTGCAGTTCTGAGCTTGATCCCCAAAAAGTGCAAGCACTGTTTCATTTTTTGTTGGGTTAAGTTGATAGTTGTGTTCAGTCAGTCGTCGCGATAACAAATCATCGTACTGCAAGGACTGCCTGCTGACCTCCTGCGCCAAGTCTGTCGTCTGGTCCGCAATAAGTAACTTCTTGGCGGCATCATCTACATATGAATGAAATGATAGGTCCATAACCATCTCCTGATCATCATCTGCTGGGAGCCTGACCGTGCACCACGTAGCTGTTTCGTCCTGGGAGTTATGATGATCCTGCTGTGCTCGCGCGAAGACCCCTCCTATGTCTCGTGTGAATACCTTAACTACCCAGGGATCTCCTTGTAGCGCTCCAACCGTAGGCTTGGCGAAAAAAAACCCATCCAGCCCCGAGAAACACACCGTGGATAACTGCAGCCTCTGGACCCCAAACCTAGCCTCCCCCTCCTTCATGATGCTCTGGTTGGCCTCCAGGATAGCCTCACGAGAACTGCTACCGAACGCGTTCGTGATGTCCTTATGCTCCGTGACATGCCGTATCCCTAGCCTCCTAAGCCTCCATCCAACTGACTGCTGGATCATGATGGCCGTCTCGCGGCGCCTCCTGGGAACACAACCGTGGGCGAACTCGGGTTCCTGGGTGATCTGCACTGGGTCCAGGCTGGTGGCGATGAAGGCTTTGCCAAAGGGGCACAAAACGTGTATGACCCTCTTCCAATTAGTGGCCACCCCCATCGACAAGCTCCAGACTGCTGGTGGCTGACTACTTCGATATATCTTATGTACAAATATCACCAGGAATCGCCTTAGAGCACGCAGATCAAGGTCTGGAGCCTGATAACCTACACCTCGGAACCTCCTCGACGTACGCCGGTACGGGTGGAACAGCATCCAGAACACTTCTATAGGAAGGGACCAGGGTGGCGACGTTCTTCGTTTGGCAGCCCTGCGCAGGTATTGTCCTATCAGCTTCAATTTTTGTCGAGCCCATTCCAGGCCCTCCTGGGTCCAGGGGGAAGTAAACTGCTGAGCCTCCAATCCGTGATCAGGGTGATAAACGTAGTCATCGATCATCTGGGGCCAGTCGACTATCTCTGCCTGCATCCCTCCCTCCCCTGAAGACAGCTGGAAGCGAGCGTAGAGGTCCGCCGCCGTCGGCATCAGCTCGGTGGCCCGACGGTAGTTCCTCTTCCGAGGTCCCGTTCCTCGTCCCGACAGCAGCCGACACAACCTCGCGACCTCTCCCTGCCGATTCTGAGACCGTGCTGCGAGCAAGTCCGAGGTGAGGTCCCGACGCCAGAGGACAACGTAACGTCTGCGTAGCCTCCTCAGCTCCCTGCTCCTCCTCCTGAGCTCCTCCTTGATGTTCTGCTGCTGCTCCTCGTCCTGCTGCTGCCCCAACTGCTCCCTCATGTCCCTTCTCTGTTGCAGCAATTGTTTGACCTCCTGGGACCGTTCGCGATAACCTGGAGAATACTCTGGAGTAGCAGTAAAAAACCTGGATGCTTCCTGGTTAAGGATGTTGACAAAGTAACCCCATTCTGCATTCGTAGTCTGTTCGTCTCTCTGAAGAGTCTCGATGTCATGTTCAGCAGCAAGAAGCCGTGATTCAACTGCCTGTAAAAATTCCGCTCGCTGGGCCCCAGTCCGAAGTGCATCCCCTAACGCTTCCTTGTTCCACTTGTGCGTGGTGGGGACAAGGCCGAGCCTCTGGTGAGTGGGGATCTGGTTCGGGAGGCAGAGAACATCAGCTAACGAGTACGATATTCTGACATGTACTGGGATATGATCTCGTGGGTCGACAGTGTGGGCTAGTTGTAACCTTCGTGCCATTCTTCGTAGTGGGCCAGCGGCCGTAACATTAGGTAGGCAACATTGCGGTAAGCACACAAAGTCGAGTTGTGAGCTGTTGCGTGCGTTCCCATAGAAGGTTGGTCCAGCTCCTTTGTGGGTGTTGACAGCAACTAGATCAAGGTCCTGTAACATAGCCAGCACAACGTCAGCTGAGTATTTTTGTTTAACAGGCGTAACTGCCGTCCCGATGGCGGGGTGACGTACTGGAAGCCATTCATCACTGCCTGACCGACGTTGTAGTCCAAAGCCTGAGTTAACATCCGCACATAATACTGGAACACATCTGTGGGTGCCCCATATTGGTAACTGCCTGGCCCACTGGATTAGCAAGTCACATGTCTTGTAGTAGGTTGTGATCTGCTTGGAGTAATTGGGGACGGGCGGAAAGTATAAGCAGACGACCGCAACGTCATAGCTTCGCGCTCTTGCACGCAATGCCACTCCACGCCCAGCTAACGAGGGAGGAGCACACCAGGTATGAGTTACTGACCTGCGGGAAATCCTGGGACCTAACAGGATGCCACAACCTGCAGACTTATTTGTAAGTGGTCCCCTCTGCCACCCTGCCTCCAGCATCCACCTATCTCCCGCTCTCCTCCAACCCACCGCCTCCCCATGCCTCTTGCTGCCCGTGCCAGTCAACCCGATGAAATCCATGTTGGGGGCCTGGGCGGCGATATCGGTGAGCCGATCGGAGGTGGAGGCCGACTGGGGGTTATACTGCAAGAAAGAGAGGCTGTTCATACCGTTGATGGCCGTCCAGCCGCTGAGGAACAGTAGGAAGCGGGAGGCCATTAGAAGAAAACCAAGGTGGGAGAAGAATGAACCATTCTAAGCGTCTTAGGTGTGGTAGGCTTCATTGTTCAATGTGGAAGTGAGGGAAGCGCCTGTGCCGAGACGCTTAGGAGGAGAAGGAGGAGGAGGAGGAGGAGGAGTAGGACGAGGAGGAGGAGTACGAAGGAAGGAGAATTAAAAATCTGCTGACCCGGGTCAACCCTGACCTGGGTCAGGCAGGCCTTGCAGGATCCTGCAATATCCTGCAGGATCCTGCAGGCCTGCAGGACCCTGCAAGACCTGACGTTCTGGCTGACCCCCGTTTTGCATTATTGACCCCCGTCTCTTGAGCCCCG